AATTAATCCTCAGCCCTAAGCACTATGCTTGGCCAACAGTAGATGGGCAATAGATGTATTATTAGATATATGATTAAAGCAAAGGTTATCAAATACCCTCATTGTGTACCTGAGATGCAGATTGAAACAAGAGAACACTTTGATGGAAGCCTGACACCACCTCCTATGCCCTGGAGCANCTTATGACCAAATTTCTGTCTACACAGGTAAACCAAATATTTTGCATGTAAAACCTGGAAGTCAGTGATTTGGCCCCAAACTGAATCCATTACATTTCAACTAAATTGAGATAGATGACAACAATCAGTTTCTTGTTGTCTCAGACTCAGCCAGATGGCATTTGATTGAACCTAAATGAATGTCATGCCCATGAAAAGGCAGCAGACTGCAAAATCCCCCTAGAAGAGAAAAGGAAAGTAACATTTGGTAAGAAATAAATCTGAATGCCAGATTCTGTGCTGTTCACCTTTATTTCTTTTATCTGTTTTAGCACTCACAAGAAATCTGCGAGAAATATATTATTATTCCCAGTTTACGAAAAGGAAAACTGAGGACCAGGAACTCTAGTCCAAGGTTTTAAGTGTCAGAACTAAGATTAGAATCACTCTCTGTCCAGCTCCCCAAATTATGTTATTTCTATTGTGTCTTAGAACACAAAGATAGTTTTTTTATAAAGCAAGTTGGTGATTATGTAATATATTTACCTAGGTGTAAGTGTTGGGCATTTAAATTAACTTACTAAAATAACTTAATATTAGGTAAATTCTGTGTTAGATATTTAACTTAAGATAGCATAGTACCACCACATCACTTCCCCCCCCCAAAAAAAAACTATTGTTATTGGTATATCATTATATTCTAAATCTTATCTCTGAGTCCAAGAATAAGAAAGCTAGAATAAGGATAAACGTGAAAAGGTTGAAAACAAAGTGACCTAAATTATGTGGCCATTTACAAGAACATGGATTAGATGGGGTGTTTAGTATGTGGTGCTGACCAACACAAAGTCATGGTCTAATCATCTGAGGCAGCTCACAGCTACAGGCTGCTCCTTGAGTGAACCCTGCCATCTTATATGTGTAAACCTTTATTTACAAGCTGAGCTGAGCACCACTGAGCTGAACACCAGCTTAAAAGACGCGTCTCGCTTAGGTGGGCAAATGGCAGCTACAATGTAACGACAGTAAGAGGAAAGTTGGAGACAGTGGTAGCACTGCTAGTAAAAATAATCAACTGTTTGCATTTTAGTGTAACTTGGTCTGATACCAAAATACAATCCTAAAGGAAATGAATGGGTATATCTGTTTTTTAATCCACTTGGTAGATCAGAGGCAACCTGTTCAGTATAGGAATTGATATATTTGAGAAAATACATGAACCACAAAAGTATCTATTCATTACCATAATTACTGAGATTTACCTGATTGATTTGCACAGGATTTGGACATTGTTTGTAGTTGTTGGAAAGAGCAAGGTTCTTCTTAACAATGATTAGCTTAATTTCTATAATTCAATATTTATGTATTTTCTATAATGACCAATTATAGAAATCATAAGGCCACTTATGTAAATTAAATGGCAGAGGGGTAAAAACACACACACACACACACACAAAAACAATATTGTGGTCTTAATTCACCCTTCCCCTTTATTATCTTAAATTTCAAAAGAGATGACAGACTTTCTCATGACTTTAGCATGTATCAAATGGCCATAATTGACCAGGACTTATATTTGAAGTTTGTTGCAGAATCTGACAGAATATGTATTAGGTGTGATCAAAACATATGGTGAATGTTTAAGTTAAAAAAAAAATTTTGTTACAGTAAAAGACACATTGTCATTAATTCTCCTCAAAATACTCCCCCTTGCTTCAAACACTCTTATCCCATTGTTCTTGCCACTTTCTAAAGCAGTTCTGGAAGTCCTCTTTTGTGAGTGTCTTTCATTGTGCTGTCATGGCTGCATCGATGACCTGAAATATTTTGACTTTGGGGAAGAGCTAGAAGTCGCATGGTGCCAGATCCGGTGAATAAGGTGGATGGGGACACGTCATCATGTTTTTATTTGAGAGAAATTATGGTGTACCAGAAGTGATGTGTGACATGGAGCGTTGTCATGATGGAAGATGATTTACTGCACCCTTTAAAACACATCTTCTCTCAACCATAGCTCACACCCAACTGACTGCACAGAACAAGTTGAAACTTGTCACAAACTGTTACTAAGGTTCTATGAGCCACTTCCTGTATTGGAGATCCCTGCCTTTCCATTGGATGGCACTTGACAGCAGCATTTACCATATTTCGTAATCACAGTGAAAAGGCTCCATGTCACACATTGCTTCTGGTATGGCAATTTCTGTCAAATAAAAACATTACATTGTGTACTCATCCACCTTATTCACCAGAGCTGGCACCATGCAACTTCTGGCCCTTTCCCAAAGTTAAAATGACCATAAAAGGTAAATATTTTGAATTGATTCAGGGCATCAAGGCAGCCTCGACAGTGCAACTAAAGACTCTCAAGAAAGAGGGCCTCTTCAGCCAGCTGAGTGGCACTTTGGTTAGGAGTTGGCTTGGGACACCAGCTCTGAGCAGCAGGGCCCCAATTCGGATCCCACATGAGGGCCAGCGATGCTGCGCCCTCTACAGCTAAGATGGTGAACAACAGCTTGACCTGGAGCTAGGCTGCCTTGAGTGGCTGGCAACGGTGTAGGCTGCAGCCCATGCTGCTGTGGGCTGTTGTGAGCTAACGTGAGTGGCTGACAGCCAGCGTGAGCTTCCGTGAGCCACCATGAGCAGCTGTCCAATGACCAGTGAGTGACTGCCTCAGCTGGGAAGAGCGCAATGATAATACCAACATGGGCCAGTGAAGCAACNGGAAAAGTCATGATGCATTTTTGCAACAAAAAACAGAAAAAATATGTCATCACTTTTCCGACAAACCAATAACTCACAGTTGTCAAAAAATAACTGACATCAGTGTTGTACATCAGTGTTGTACAATCACAGCATTCATATAATACAACTTCTTATTCCTTTATGTTTTATATCTTTTTGAAAGCATGTTAAGTAAAATATATTTATAATTTTAATTAAAATATATAAAAATGTTTATTTGAGTAAGAAGTCCCTATGGAAAACCAAACACTCAAAGAGTCAAAACACAAATGATTTTTAATTTTTTCCAGGTCACAGTTGTTTTCAACTGCTATTGTGTATATTAACCTTAAAGAAACTAATGGAAAAAGCAAACAAACAAGATGTTTTAATGTGAAGGCTGGGGGAGGACCAGGGGAGGGAAAGAGCTATGTTACCTGGGGCTCTTCTGGTTACCTGATTCACAGTGATTCAATCAAACTGATCCAAATAACAAACTACACCAAAAAGCCCTACTCTACGAGTTACACAAACTACCAGTTCTAAGGTGAAAGGCAGAAGGTGCATGAATGAGTGAGATTTTATATATACACACACACACACACACACACACACACACACACACATACATACATACATACATACATACATACACACACATACACACTGGCCCCAGAAAGGGTCCTTGAAATGATTTTGGAATTACAATATTCTGTAAGAGTGAATAGTAAACCCTCAAGCAGAGTGAAAACAGCAAAGAATACTAGAACACTAGATAAAATATGACAAACTAGTTTTGAAACCAGCTCTGGCACATATAACTAAATAACCGTGGAGAATCACATAGCCATGGAGAATACTTATGTTCTTTTCACATAAAAGCACCTGGTTAGACTAGGTAAGGCTGTAATGGAGCTGGTTAGATCTCTAAGACATTTCTATTTCCAAAAACTGTTATTCTGTGATCATACAATCACTCTTTTGCTATGTTTCCAAGTATGTAATTCCTACTACCCTATATTTTTGTCAGGTAGATGGCTTAAATGGGGGAAATATCAGACTACCTGTAATGGGTGATTGACAAAGATTTTCTGATAGTGCTATTATTTCTTTCTTATGTAACACATGCCTCTATGAATCAAAGAGAACACAAACAGTTTCTAATTCTCATAGCATTCACATATTTTAGCTAGATCTATCTCTGAGGGTTGTGGGGCTGAGGAGAGAAGGAAAGAACAATTTTTAGAATTACTAAAGACTAAGTTCAAACCATCAAATCTGCCACTTATAAATTGTGTGATCATGAGAAAGGTTTTTAACCTTGACTCTTTTTTTTCTTATTTGTGAATTTTAGAAAATAATAGCATCTACCTCATGAGGTTGTTACAGAAGTCAATGAGATAATGTTCTCATGGCATTTAGTATAAATCCCACACCTAGTGCTTCAGGAATGTTTATTCTTAACATTATGTATCTCTTAATAAATAACATTTTCATTANAAAGAGAACACAAACAGTTTCTAATTCTCATAGCATTCACATATTTTAGCTAGATCTATCTCTGAGGGTTGTGGGGCTGAGGAGAGAAGGAAAGAACAATTTTTAGAATTACTAAAGACTAAGTTCAAACCATCAAATCTGCCACTTATAAATTGTGTGATCATGAGAAAGGTTTTTAACCTTGACTCTTTTTTTTCTTATTTGTGAATTTTAGAAAATAATAGCATCTACCTCATGAGGTTGTCACAGAAGTCAATGAGATAATGTTCTCATGGCATTTAGTATAAATCCCACACCTAGTGCTTCAGGAATGTTTATTCTTAACATTATGTATCTCTTAATAAATAACATTTTCATTAGAATAATTTGCAGGAGTAGGAGTAGGGACTCCATTTTCTTTCGATGTTTATATAAGCATATGCTCCTATACAGGCGTTTTGTAGCTTTGCTTGAAAGCTTTAAGAAAAGAGGGTGATAATGAAACATCAAAAGTATTTGTGAAATGTTGCAACCTGTTGGACCAGATCAGATATTTTAAGTGTCTTCACTGTTCGTAAGGTGATGCTATTTTCTTTGCAAAGCCTGACACATACCTGAGCATGCTACATTTCTTTTCAGTGCCTGTTGGCCCTAACAAGCCTGTGAGTGGATTTGCAGAAGACAGTGCTGCACTGACTGAGGGTGTGTCAGACCTCCAGGAGGTGGTGTCCTTGAAGGAGCGGATGGCAAGGTACCAAGCAGCTGTTTCCAAGGGTGACTGCCGAAGCTTCTCTGCCAACGTAAGCTGCTCCTGGTGGTTTTGTATTAAGCAGTGTGCTTGTTGTCTGCTCTTCACATACCCTTCTTATATTGCAATATAAGAATACTACTGGACAGTGGCATAAAGTAGAAAAAGCACAGAAATACTGTGAAACAAATTTGGAGGATCTGAATTGAAGCTTCGGCTCTGCTACTTATTAACTGTGTGGATATG